AACTTTTTTCAAGTGTATTGATGTTATATAGCATATCTAGGTACGGTTCGACGCAGAACTTGCTGAGGTCGAAATATACGACGCTACCCTGGTCTTCTATGCGTTTATATATCATTTTATGCGCCACGAAACGTGGTCCCATTGCTTTGCTCAAATTGATTATGACGTATCGCCACCCGTGTTTCACATGATCAAAAACTTCTACGTGCGTCACGGTTGCGTTGTCAGTTACTTCGTATATCGCAGAGTGACTCTTGGAATCATTGACGTTATTAACTGCCCGCCGATGCTCCATCAGCGGTAAAACACTGTACTGCGTGTAGAGCCAATCACCCCGTCTAAGGTTAGCTAGAATTATAATTTCTGGTATAATTATATCTGTGCTAGAAATGTCGATGAGTAAGTTAGAAGGCCTTGATACAGGCATTAAATCCCCTCTATGGAATCTGGAATCATTGCCCATTATATTTTGTGGCCTGAATACGCCATTCTCAACTGGTGGTATTACTACTACGAATTTCACGCTAAAACGTCGGTGTCTGATCCATATTGTTGTCCGCTCTCGATCCGGTTCAACATCGACTTTAGTGGCATAGCAATGTATCGACGGTGAAGGAATGTTAGGGTCACGAGCAGTGTTATATATGTTGAGAATAGGTGATATTATAAATACATCTTTAGGGGACCTCATATTGATTACTGGAAGTGACCCTCGGCTGCTATAATAAGTTGGAACCATGTACCGCACCGCATTATCGAGTGTACGACGTCCTGACACAATGTATGGATGGAACTTATCTGCATCTAGATCTAAAGTTAATGATATATGGCTTCCTACAAATTCATCCTTTGATTCACGAGTACTAAGAAAGTAACACAAGTCGTCCTTTTCATAAAAAGTTGTTCGCAGCAACTTCCAGTTTACTGTGTTATAACGACTAATTGAAATAATATGACGACCTTGACGCCTATAATCCTGAACGTAAACATCCAAGGATAGCGCTGGTTGATATGATGAGTCGAACAAAATCTCATCACCGCATTTTACGAGATTGATTAGGGGGCCGTGTGAGTGAAACATTCTATAAATACCACCATCCCTAAAGGTTCCTACAAAAATATCTATATAAGGCAGAAAATCTTGCTGGCTGATATCCAGAATGACACTTCCGATCGGGTACATCGCTATAATCAATGCCGCTGCATATATTGCAGGCTTGGGATTCCATAAGCCATGTACCATTTTCTAATAATTATAATTTATACATAATTAACAATGACGAATGTACATCTTATGGATGATAAGTGAACTCATTTAGAAAGAAAAATATGTATGCCACATTCTTGCAGCTAGCGAGAAACTTGGCGACTACATTGAACGCTTTTAGGCTCACAGTATATAATAGGAATAATACACATGAACAACTCATTGTGTCTGTAAATGTACGCCGATAAGCTATCATCGTCATATAAGTGTGAAGAATGACTCTAGTGATGTGTTTTAAGAAACGTCGCTGTAACTGTAACCAGTATAGAATGCAGTGTGAATTGTATCCTCAATCAATGCCTAACGGCAACACACACGTGAGTGATCCACTGTATAATATGACTTGAGTTATTGGTACACATTGCCATAGGATACCCACCTCAGCGTCGTTATGGATTTAACATTGTTGCTAACAATGTCTGTCTACAATGACAATCGAATACATAATACAAAACTCGTTATAGTCTATTGTATTGTATCGAGACTATTTCAAAGGACCCTACTTGCCCACAGGAATCCATTCATACCAATATATAAAGGCTATATATACATTCAATATAAATAATATAACATACAAATAATATATAATGCAAATGATATTGCGAAGGTGACACGTTATGTCGTATATATTGTTTAATTCGTAGAGTGCAAGACCTATTCAGCCTCTACACTTCGATTATGGAATATTCAAAATAATGTAGTTCAAAAAAAAATTAATTAATATCAGTTTTCCTATTAAGGATGTAAAATACCGTACGTTACCAGGAGAGCTCCTGTGACATGCCTAGGTAATTGTAATGTGCTTCTATAAAATGGTCGCCATTCCAATCGAATGTCTAACGCATCCAGTGTTAGGAGTAACGATAAGTGAAACCCTCGGTTACAGCTTTAAAATATTCCAATAACAACATCAATCATTTACTGAGAAAATTGGCATGTTGATGTGCACCAACAAACACATTAAAATTCAAACATAGTCACATTTATTCACATGTATATCTGGTGAGGAATGGCGTCTCCTTCGTACAACAGCACAATAAAAGATTAATCACCACTTGTCTGTGTGGAACGTGAACGAAGGTCACGCAAAGCCGTTTCGAGAATGTCTTTTCCAGATGTCCTTCAAATTACTCGGTTATTAACTTGAAACACCAATTGATTACCATTGTCGCCTAGCATATTACTTTTAGGTCGGTTTGCAAGGTGGTTCAGTGCCTACTAGTCCGTGGTAGTGAAATTTCAACTTGCAAGACTGAATGACGCAAATGCTACGTCATTAGTGCTACCATATGTTATAGATTGGTAAACGCTTATAAGTGGAGGTAAAGCTGTTAAGGATGGTACCGAAAAAAATCGCAGTTTAAATAACTGTTTCTCCTAAGTCGCCGATATAATTTTTATTGCCGGCCATCGCAATTACTATGTTGTGAGCTAATATATCAGTTGCCAACAATGTACTACGGAAGTGGACCTCAAGCTGCTCTCTTCCGTGTTTTGCGGGTCTATTTTAGGTTTTCTGTCATCAATCAATATGAAATTTTCTTTTGGACCGTATATAAGTGACCTAACCTGTGCCATTTCCGTTATCATACATCTTCCAAGGCCAAAGCTGTTACACTGTACTAACTTTATGGTTCTCATCTGGGAGATAATAGCGAATTTATAACCCATTTTAGGCAGAAGGCCACGCCCCACGGGTACTATGGAAAATAATTTTTTAAAAGGGACATCTCCTACCCCTTCCTTACACATTATTAGTCATATTAGGTGATAATATACGTTGCTGAGCGGGCAATATACTATCAATTTTTTATATTGCGTTCCCCAGGCCTGCTACCACCTATCAGTATAATAATAAAATTTTTAATATTCATCAACTTATAATGACGTATAAAGTGACTATTGTCTCTGTGCAATGGCTTTAAAGTGTTTTTAAATCATAATTTTTGAGAATAGTTCATACCACATCCCGTTTGTGGAAAGCTTCCCTATAGAAATATGTGATCATGTAGAACAAAAGGTAAGCCTATGTTCAGTTTCGCAGTGGCTATGATTAATAGTAACACAGTGTTACATTTACATATTAAATATACTTAATGAAACTTTTTATATACTCTGTTAGTAGTTGGACATTAACTGCCAGAATGTCAACGGTACAATCTTACGTAACAACACTAATTACCTTCTACAGTGTGCCATTATATGTTGGTACTTGTAGATCATTGGGCACTTAGTATTAACCCTATTCGTTAGTTATAATTGTTCAACGTAATGTGTTGCTCTTTGGCACGTTAAAGAAAGGTATTGTACTCAGGCAAAAATAGATACAGAGATAGCGAATGAATTAAAGTCACGAATGTTCATACCAAAAGGACATTTAGCGAACTGTAGATATGGAAATCTCATGGGTGGCCCTGCAATAGGCGTAACATTTTATAATATGTTAACTTGCTTTTGTCGGAAATAGAATTGGACCTACAACCCTTTGAACGGGGGTGAGAAGTTAGGCGACAAATAATGTCTCACATAAATGACATAGATATCTCCAAATTTTACAGTGATCGGACTATAACGCCGTGTATACATTAGTTGGAGATAACTTACATACCTTAGATCAGAAACTGGAATTTTCCGTCGAATATTTCGCGGTGGGAAAATTCTGGATTTTCGGACCGTGATGTTTTCTAATATAAACAAAAAAACTGTAATTGACCATTGGCAGACTCATTTTATAATGTCATTAATTAGCATAGCAGTAGGGCATGGTGGATTGGGTATCCATTCTGCCCTCACGCAGTATGCTGTCGACCATGTGGCGAGATTGAAAAGTTGTGCCGCCACATCTCCACAGTGTCAAGGCGGAGATACCACAGCTATAGCTTGTGCGCTGGAAAGATTATATTTCAAGGGAGATGACGGCGTTGATAAAGGCAGCTTACACCCTCTTAGCATAGTGATGCCACTGGGTATTGACCTGGATACTTTCGAGAGCGCCAATAGTTGTCGAAGAATACGTAATGCGTGGTCAGGTGCAGGCAGTATCTCTGGGCAAGGCGGTTTTTCCGAGAGACCAGCAGGCTGGAGTTATGCGGATGACTCCGTATTGAATATGCCCGGAGCCTCCCACGACATATGGTCGCGAGGATCCTTCAATGCCGCATTGCATAGGGCAGAGATTTGTGATATCATACGGAAATATGTAGAGGAAACCGACATACTGAGTGGGTTCTTGTCGTTCGGCAGTTTAGGCGGTGGATCGGGATCAGGCATAGGGTCCTATTTGTCAAAATTATTCGCTGATCAATATCCAAAAACACTTCACGTTCCTATTGCTATAGCGCCGTTTTCACATGGAGAGAGTGGCTCCCAGTCTTTGAATATGACATTAGCGCTCTCTTACTACCAGGAATACTGGTAAGTTATTCGTTGAAGTCGATAACTTTCGATTTTTTGCATACCATTCACATTCTATGCAGCGATGGGATCATTTTGCTGCAAAACGACCAACAACAGGAAATGTGCGAGCAATTGTTTGGCGGTGACAGTACGTCTTTCAACTCCTTCAACGAGGTATGCGCCCTGAACCTCTTTCACGGGCTCAGACCGCCATCCAGCACTTGTCCGATATCTGGAGGTATAAGGTTCCACAGGCCTCTGCATTACATAACTGATGGGCTTTGTAGTTATCCATCATTGAAAATATTAAACCTACACCTAATGCCACTGGATCGGTTGGATGGATCAAAAAATGGCTCCGAAAACGTCCAACAAATGGTCAACCAACTCGCAGACACGCTAAAAGCTGATCCAACACTGGGATATTGCTCGACAAACGAAAAAGTTTTATTTTCTCCAAAGGAGTTTACTACTCAGGAAAATTTAGGTCATGCAACAAAAAGTAACATTACATCCAAAGAGCAAATAGCAATACAGGATTTTTGTGGATATGAGAAAACGGCTATCAAACAAACCGAAGCTATGAATCGTTTTAAAACTCTAAGCGGTGTTCCTGTAAAAAGCCCTGACTGTCAACATATCGAAGTCACGGAAAAGGGGATCTCCTCGACTGCAACTTCGGGGGCAGAAGTAACTACAGCATCCACCGTATCTTTTAAATTAATCAAGACAAACGGCAAGAAGCGAACGAACGTGACCAAGTATAATATTGTTGCGGGCATTCAGCTGAATATTGGTGGCCCTCTACAAGAGAGCATAAATTTGGTAGACTTGTACCAAGATGTTCTATTTTGGAAATACTCGACTCGACCTATACAGGTAATTGTTCGTTTTCAAAAAATAAGATTATATAGGCATCATATTGCCCAATTGATGTTGGACCTTTCGGGAATACGGTCTCACAGATTTCCAATAGTCAGGCAGTTCTGCCACTCTTGGATTTTACTACGACAACCTCGAAAATGCTGTATGCCACAAATGCCTATATACATAAATACACTGAATACGGATTGGAACGGGATGAAATCCAGCACTGTATTAGCAATGTCCAGGAAATGATGACGTCGTACACCATGCTAAGCAACACGTGAGACATATCTTATGCAAATAATCATCGCTTCAGTTGTGATGCCAAAAGGATTCACTACCCATGAGAAAATGGATCCAGCTCTTGGGTCCCGTGATTTTCGCTTTTCGGAACCCTCTGCAAGCGGCCATGAAGTTAGCGGCATTCCCAGCGCACGATATGATAAGCTATAGGAGTGTGGTGTTTTAATCTAGTTCACTTTAGTTTAGTGTGATGTTGTGCACTAGTCAGATTCTATCATGTTTTTCCCCGCCTCGCTGGAGACTGAAGATCCTGCCCAGACTGGACGAGCGTATGGCACCAGGATTTTCCGATGACAGTAGGAGTGGGATGCTCCACACTTCCCATATTCGATGGCATTACCAACTTTGACACTGCAAAATTGCATTTCTGTTACTATGGCCATGGGACCGTCGATAATGTCCACGCCGCATCGTTGGCGTATTGGACGTAGCTATATTCGAGATACGACGTCCTAATAGACAAGCTAACTACAGCGAACTTGTCAATACTCCACCTCATTTTGTAACGCAAATCTTCATGGAGGGTGATGTCAAGGTAAGTTTCCCGATGGAAACATGAACCGTTTCGAGGAAGAAGATCCACACATTGGTTTCGTTCTTGTAGTTGGTGAGCTTGCCGCTAATTTTTACCGGCATACTTCTCTTGTGGGAAAACTGAAGATCCTTTATACGGCATAAGTTGCCATAAACTGTCTGAGGCAGATGAACTCATGTTTATAACGATCAGCGCATACACTTACCTGTTTAAAACAGTTTAATGCTTCGTAATACTGGCGCACGCTAATTGTGTTATTTGTCAGCATCTCGTTTAACACTAGCTGCAGGGCGATACCACAGTGGAGCTGTAGGTGCGATTTATCACTAGCAAGGCTCCACTTGTCGATCCTACAGTGATTTTGTATGCAAGCTAGAGGGAGGGTGTAGTACTTGCGCTGCGCATATAGATTCCCATTAACGGTTAAACACTGTCGTGAATGCCTGCAAATTGGCGGACGGTGTGCGCCTTCGTCCACATAAGCTTCTAAACCGGCATTAAATAAGATTCGCTGGTCGTCCATTATCACCAAGTCGGCGGCAGGCCGAATATAGATTCAACATTCGGGATGTAAAATACTTATCATCTTATCTCGATGGAAACCCATAAAATCCGCTGGTATAAGATGTAGTTTTAGTGTTTGATTGAGCAAACTACCAGAAAATGGGAAATATACCCGCTGTCAAGACGCAACAGAGGTGATTCCTTACCCTATTACTTCATAACACACCTATAATAGCTAAACGTGACATTAAAGTTTAAAACTTAACATGAAATCCAAACGGATAATATCGTCAGTACAGTAAGCCGCAAGATTACTTGTCTACACACCGCCTCCGTACGGTTATTCGGATTCTAACGACATACCTCGCTGCAAAACAAAATGAAAAGGGGTTAACTCTCCTTTGTGTTGCTAAACATCTGGAAATGGAGTAGAATGCGTCATAAGTTTGGATGGACACACGTGAGACACATCTTGGTGGAACAATGGATTTTCCTATTCATTCGGGTCACGAATACAGGGGTTGTACTGCACAGCCTGTGGACTTAAGTGTTGCTGAGAACCGAACACATACAGGCGCTTGTAGATACAAAATCATTTCTTCTCCACCGCTCGGCTCGGATGGGCGAATTGATGCGCCATTCGGCCCCCTTAAGCTGCTCGAGCTTAGCGGTGACATACCGCAGCTATTCATAGATCACTCATTTTTGGGTTCAACTGCAGAGACTAGTAACAGTTCGGTGGGTCAGGGGGACCGAAAACACAATCGCAAAGCACAACAACCTATGCCCATCAATGCTATGAATATAGAGAGGTGCTTCGCTGTCAATAATGACCCTGTTCTGTCTAGAACCACAACTGTCGATAGCCATGCAGATGTTTCTATTGCATGGGCAACGATTCGAACGCCACTGCCGTTATTTCAGTTAGAGGATGAAGTTGGTTCAGCACGGCGCAATGGACGAATCATTATGACCATAGGAAACAATGTCCTTAATGGGAAGTGTGTCGTTTTGGAATCCGGTGACCATATATTGGTGATGAAGAAGGTGGAGACGCATTGCAGCTGTTCCTGTGTCGCTAATGATGATATGGAGCGTAAATGTGAAGAAACACACGGAGCGTATTTTGAAATATGCGCTGTTACCAAGGCCAAAATTATCTTTAACGAACGGCCATCCATAATGCAGCATTTACATGACGTTGATAGTGATATACCTTGGTTCCTATGCCAATCACAAAATATGGAATTGATAAATCCAAACTGGCTGCTGTTAAGGGTTAGCCTCGATATCGTAGATGATTTTATGAACGACAAGGCTTATTTCAAAATTGTTAGAGATAATTCAGGGAAAGATGAAACAAAGTTGATACTTAGTGTGAATGATGAAACCTATTATCTTGAACGGATTGAATTGGGTGGGAAGGTAGTTTTGGTCAATCCCACGCAGATTGAAACGCGCAACGGCCTCACCTACAATCTGTTATCTATTCTTGGATGTTGCAAATTTTTACACAACCTAGTAAATGTGACTCCCAACTTCGCTCCACTACATCTCAAGGAGGATACAGCATTGCAGAATATTTTAGATGCACTACCGATTGCCGATGCACAAATCAAGTCATTTCTCATGAACTCCTATGAGGAGTGGCCTTGCGAATGTATATTTCTAAAAGGGGGTCATTTTACTCACATTGATGCTCTTATATTGGCCGAATTCACAGTTACGTTGCTGCGCCTTTTGGACATCTATTTCAATCAACAGGAAAGGCGCGGTAAGAGCATTCAAGACCTCACTGCGCAAGATGTATGGTCGTTGGTACACAAATTTCAGGGGGAATTTGGCTTTCTACCAGAAAGAATGCAAACTCCTGCTGTAACATTCCAACTATTGCGCTTTGTATCTGATGTTCAAGTGCCTTTTAATGAGCTGGAAGATTATATGTACAAGCTGGAGAATGGAGAGCTGTTCGATGCTCCTGTGAGATTGAATCTGTTTAAGATGCATAAACTAATTGTTTGGGCCATATGTGTCGCAAATGAGGATCGGAAAGTTACGTACGCCGAATTGGTGAAAAAAGTCGATTCGTTGCTATTCACTAAAATGTTACCGTCGTACATCTTCGAAGAGATGATAAGATATCTCACAAGAAACGAAGTGTCGACAAATGAGGATGTGGGTGATTATGTGAAGTGCCTAAAGTTTTATTACGAAAAGTCGTCTTTCAGCGAGGTCGCAGATGACATGTCGCGTCGTTTCAAACGCCAGTCCAGATCGACCGCAGAGGAACCAGAACGTTTCTCAACAGGCAAAAAGCTTTTTCTGGTTGGGGAAGTGGACAAAGATCTCGCAGATGAACGTGGAGCGGAATGCTACAATTATGATATCTTCAAGCTCAACACCAAAGGCCTCACGAGGCTCAGGTTCAAATATGCAATGAATACACTGCTTGCAATGTGTAGGTGCCCTATGTCGCTCCACGTCGCTATGATTGCCGACAGGATAGTCACTACAGAGGAAGGTGATACGTGTCTATTGCAAGTCTACCCCAGGGAGAAGGTGGACAGTCTTAGGGATGTGTTGTCATCTCTGTTTAGACTCAATAAGAGATGGCACCTGGATGATATAGAAAAGAAATTGGTCAGATTTTTGGGAAACAGGCAACCTCTCGACAGTATTACTGGTGCCCCTAATTTCCACACAAGGCTTTGGATAACGAACGAGACAAACACCCTCAATTGTTGCATTGCTAAGCGTGAAACAAGCAAGGGCGAAGCGACGGGCATGTTAGTTGCGGACGACATCCACAGTGCGCTTAAGCCTATCAATGAGGAATCATACATCATCATAAATTCAAACGTGCCCTTGTAGTAGAAATAACATTGTAGTGATATAATAATAATAAATTTATACATCGGTGCAATCATATGTGAATGGCGGTATGCGAATACCATACCCAGGGCGGAAACGTCACACATCTAAGATGGTGCTACCCATAAAAATAAGTTGGTATTAGTGCTGTGTTAGTTATACACATCCCTGTATATTGCGTATATTTTGGGTAATAGCG